GGGAGATTTGGACAAACAAAAGATCCTCGGAGAAGTTGCAGCCACCAAAATGGTGTCCTTTCAAGGCATTGAATTTTCGTATTAAAATTTTAAACAAAAAAAAAAAATGCTATTTAAGCCAGGGACTTCCTCTGTTTCCTGCATTAAAATGAGCAAAACTTTTCCCCAAATTGCTTCGGCTCAAACTAAACCCTAGTTTTCAAATTGTGCGACCTGCGTTTAAAATCAAGAGAGATCTGAACAATTTCTTTTGGTTTTACATCCTTATTGTAGCAAGGTAACATAATTTGAAACAGCTTTTATCTAATTTTTGTGAGCAAGAGTACTTCCAGAAAAATGGCTTCATCGTCATCAAATTCATTTTCTGATGCCGAAAAAGAACTCAAAGCACCGCCATTGGCTAATTGCAAGAGAGGAAGAGGCGTCATACTTCGCGGAGAGATGTTCTGTTGCAAGATGATACCTATTCAGGTTCTGGGACTAGGACTTCAGTCGTCGATTAGACTGGGTCTCTTGAAGAAAAGTCATAGCTGCATCAGCACGAAAGATGTGTAGCCTTTTAATTTAATATACAATGCAAAGCTGAAATTCTTGATCATGTTAATTGGAATGTCGAGGAAGTTCATCTGAGATTAAGTGCAATGCAGCCTCCAACGCCCTAAGGTTTTTCTCACAGTGGGCGCCCATAGCCATACCGAATTTTCTTGGAACTGAACGTGGAAATTCAGCAGTCAAGAATTCATGTTGAACACGGTGTGACTGTTTGCTTTTAGTAACATGTTGTTACCGAAAGGCATAGGATTCCCCCCACCACACTTTCTCAGAAACCAAGGATGAGAAAAATTAAACATCGTTCACACAGAACATGGACCTTAGTCGTCAATTCTCTTCAGTAGAATATATATTCATTCAAAAAGAAAAGATTTTCATCATTCTCCATTGACTTGACTAGTTGACTTTGATGTAACAGATGTATCGATCCCCTTGGACGAAATGAATACGTAGCTATACCTTGTATTTAAATTCAGAAGGCAGGCGAATAGGAGAGGTAACATATTATACAAAATAGGCTTAAACATGACATCCTCATCCTCTGTTATAACTGCTTCCGTTGTGGCAACAGTTTTATGGGTTATTGTTCTTACAGTAGCCTCGATAATGTTAGTAGCAGCAAAGTCGCAAGATTCAGAAGCTCAGGCATTGTTGGAGAGTGGGTGGTGGGATGACTATGTCAACAACAGTGCAAATCATTGTAGCTGGCCTGGTGTAAAATGCAACCACGATGGAAGTGTCATCGAGATTAGCCCTCCAGGTTATTATTATTATGAGGGAGAAATGTTTATAAAGATGAACTTTTCTGCCTTCCCCAATCTTCTTCAGCTTGATCTTAATAGCAAAGGTTTTAGAGGAAACATCCCTCCTGGTTTGGGTCATCTGACCAAACTTAGAAAACTGTCTCTTGGGGACAACCAACTCAATGGATCCATTCCACCAGAAATTGGGAAGCTACATAATTTGGTTATTTTGAATCTTTCTGACAACCGTCTTTCAGGTGAAGTTCCTTCCACTTTAGGCCGATTAGCCAATTTGTTTACTATTAAACCATCCTCCATCATGCTTTCAGGTCCAACTGACCAATCTGACATATCTGTCACAGGTTCCCTCCCACAAGAATTTGGAGACATGAAGAATCTTAGCTTTCTACGCATAGATGGAAATCAAATCAGTGGTTCTATCCCCTCAAAAATAGGAAACATGAAGAGTCTCATCCACCTAAATATGGAGAAAAACCTAATTCTTGATCCCCTACCTCCAACTTTGGGTCTTTTACATAGGTTGAAGCACTTAAATATGAGGGAAAATCAAATCGATGGTTCCATCCCCTTGGAAATAGGAAATTTGAAGAATCTAGCTTACCTGGATCTTGGTTCGAATTATTTAGAAGGTTCAATACCAGGAGAAATTGGGAAAGCAAAATCCTTGAAATTCTTGAACTTTGGGCAGAACAGATTGAGTGGTCTCATCCCTTTCCAAATTGGTCACCTTTCTATGCTCTCGGAGTTCCATGTTGACTGCAACTTCATCAATGGAGGGATACCCTTCCAACTTGGGAATTTAAAGAATTTACAGACCTTGAATCTCAGCCACAATAGTCTTACAGGTATGACGAACTTTTAGCACACTTCTTCATTTGTTTTCAATTGAGCAACTTTGGATAATTTGTTTGCTTTGATTTTCTCTAATTTGTTTTATTTTGTTTTACCAATAATTAGTCAAAATAATTTGTTCATTGATTGCTTCAGACTAAGAACAAAATAATTAGTCAAATCCTTCTCAAATTCCTAGTAACAAGGATGTGTTTCACAGGTTCAATCCCTCCCACTCTGCTTCATCTAACTAGTCTCCTACTTGTATCTTGATTCAAATCTTCTAGGTAGTATCCCAG